CAGCCGTCATTGTTGTTTGGCGGGTCCGGGCTGGGGATTCGAACCCGCCACCTTAGGTGTACGTGGCTGGCGCCTTAGCCGGTTGAGCTATAGGAGCCGAGCCATTAGAACTCTTTAACGTAAGGAGCTACTGGACCCTTGCTCAAGAGACTGATGCCCTGGGATATTTGAAAATAAAGCCCTTTCACATCTATTACAAATTATAGAACAGGGGAAGAGGTTGTAAGATGAGAGAGACGTCAGAATCACCTGCGGATTTTCCCCAAACTATGTACACAGTTCCAGCACCATTACCCTAATGCATACCTTACAGGGTGTGGTCCACCAATAAAATAAGCCAAATCAAAACCACAGCCACAGGAAGCCACTTAGACTGAAGGTGATGGGTCATGTCACTTGGGTATGTTTAAAGACTCCAGGACAGCAAGGTTAAGACAATTTATACTAATGCACTGAAAGTCCTGTGGAGGACTCATCACACAGATATGGTCTCTGTCTACAAGGCTGGAGACAGAAAACTGTTTCTAACCTTTACAAGATTCCAAGATATAACATAACAGATCTAAGGTGAGCCACATATTTTAATTATAACAGATCTAAGGTGAGCCACATATTTCTTGTAGTACTTACTTTTCTTTCTGATGGGGGAATTCTGATTGATCTGCCTGTCTGGTTAGCTATGTCTAAGTACGGTGTAGTCTCTGAATCCACCACCATCTCAGCTCTCTCGGCCAGTATCTCTAGTCCTCTTTTAGTCCTCTGAATTCGTTTTTCTTTCAGTTCAGCCTCATTTTGTTCCTCTTCCTCCACCTGGAAGTTTTTCCTCACGTCCTCTTCGGACTGTTTCAGTTCAAGCACCATTGCTTTTACATTGTGAGTCACTCCTTGTTCTTCAAGGGTTTTCCCTGTAAAAGTCAGAACTGCACTTATAAAAAGAGCCATCATGTTTACCAGGCAACACACTGTTTTCTACATCAAATGGAATTCTTAGACTTGCATTAACATTTGTAAACTCTATACCACATAATCAGTGAGAATGTGCTTAAATTAGGTTGCGTAACCAGTTCCTATTAAGCAGTGGTTAAAATCAGCCAGTGCAATAGAGCCGACTAAATTCATCTTTTCCAGTTTTCTTAATTCTTGCCATAGGACTAAATTGAAGCAACTAAAACTTGAGAATGTATTACAGGGAGAATACTGTGCTAGACAATATAAAAGGAAAATGAGAAAGTGCAACACAGACCTTCCTACATTCTGGGTGGAAAAACAATAAACCCAAGGCCAGGTGCGGTGGCTCACGCCTGTAATCCTAGCACTCTGGGAGGCCGAGGCAGGTGGATAGCTTGAGCTCACCAGCTGAGATCAGCCTGAGCAAAAAGCAAGGCCCTGTTCCTACTAAAAAAAAAAAAAAAAAAATAGAAAAACTGAGGCAAGAGGATGGCTTGAGCCTAAGACTTGGAGGTTGCTGTGAGCTATGATCCCATTGCACTCTACCCAGGGTAATGGCTTGAGACTCTTTCTCAAAAAAAAAAAAAAGATAATAATAATAAACCCAGTACACAACAAAAGACAAAAAGCCACGGCACAGCCATGTGTGGTAAGAGGTAATTTACTATTATGGTTAAAATCAGAGGCCCCAGATTCCATCCTTTTCAACTCTGTGGCCCACAGGGCTTTTCTCAGTCCCTCAAATTCATCTCCTGGTGCTGTGACATGAAGCTCTCAGTTTGGAGTGTTCCACACACAGCCTCTCTGTCTGGGGAACACTCTCCTCCCTTGGGGAGAAGCCGCTGGAGCATCTTACACTCAGCACACCCGACTTCCATTCTCCAACATCTCGTCTGACTGTACTGAGTGTCTTTCTTCCCACTAGCACAGCGTACACAATGGATATTTACTGAAAAAGCTGTCTTCTGATATACATTTTTACTTCAGTAAACTTCTAAATCATTTTTAGATTACAAATGTAATAAAGCTACAAATTTTTGAATAGAGAAAGAGAATAAAATGGAATGCTATCATTTATTAGCTTGACTGAAAAATTCTGCATACTTTCCCATACATACCTAGTTGAAGCTGTTTCTTGTTTATGACAATTTTGATATAATTTTCCTGAAATCCAAAAGATTCAGCTATTCTGTAAAATAAAACCAGTGAAAACTATAGGAAACAAATTTGTTATTTATTATCATTAAAAAGATTTTAACCGATACAGCTAGCTTAAGCATTATACTCAGAAACACCCAGAATTTCAATCTACTAACTCATAAACATCACTGGACAATAAAGCCAGTTTACTAGTCACTATCTGAAACTGTGTAGGAGACAAGTCCTCTTTCAAACTCTGTTTTAAAGCCGCCTGTCTCTTCATGACGTAGGGACCACAGTGCCGCAGTGCTGCAGATCCATTTGAATGGGAGGGCTGGCTCCATGTCAGGAGAAAACCCAACCTCTGTTGTCTCCCTGGAGCACCCTGTGCCAGTGGGGTGCGCTGGGACCTCTACTCATGGATGCTGAGTGAATGATGCTTCCTGAATCCATCCGTAACAGCCCTGACATAGACTAGAGAGGAAGGTGACAGAAATCAGCCAAAGAGACACACTGACTGGCTAGTCTGGAAGCACTAATACACCTACTGTCTAAAAACAAAGAAGTAGATAAAATGGCTGACCAGACCTCAAAGTGAGGCTGTCACTAGTATGTAACAGGAAGATATAAGAGACAACAGCCTGAAATGGGCTAAAACTCTTTGCTGAAGGACACATCAAGCTATTAGCGCACTCAGGGACAGAATTCCAAACAATCTGGTGAATGTCAGGCTCTAACTTATATCACTTGTTCATTCACTCAAATGCACAGGGAGGACCACTACATGGTGGGCACAGAGTTCTCATCTGTTCCAAAGTTATCCTAGGAAATGTGAGATTTGCAAGTGTTGAGTTTTCACTTTGCCACTTACTTGCCAGTGTGAACCCAAGTAAGACCTTCAACCTCAAAGGCTCAATTTTGTCTTTTATAAAATGAAGATAACAGCTAGGCTATCTTATAGGATGGTCACAGAGGATCAAATAGGACAATGTAAAAAGGGCCAGAGCACCTAGGACGCAGCACATATACTTACTTAGACCTCAGCTCTCTGCCAGTGATGTGCAATCGGGTCTCCAACAAGTTTTTCCTATCCTATGAAAATCAGACAAAATTATTGTACTTGGACTTAACAGTTTTTGGAGCTATTACCCTGTCTATGAAATCAGAAAAGCTAGTATCAGAGGAGGTAAACTGATGTACTAGGACATAACACTTTTTGGAGCTATTACCCTGTCGATGAAATCTATGAAAGCTATTATCAGAGGATGTAAACTGAGGCCACTGGGTAGAGACTAACATGCTGCCTGCATTGAGGAGAAGCCTATGGGACACAGCAAGGCCGACTCTGGGCTCTGAATGTCCTCGGGGACAGCAGCATGACACCACCAGGGAGGGTTACTCAGTAGGGTCTGTCGCACAACTGGCCATCTTCATGATCTAATTTCAGAACCTTTCCACCATCCCTCTACCATACCCTGCACCCCCCATTCACTGCCCTTTCCCCCCCAGTCCCTGGAAACCACTAATCTATATTTTGTGTCTACAGACATGTCTATTCTGGACATTTCATACACATGGGATCATATAGTATGTGGTCTTTTGCGCCTGGCTTCTTTCACTAAGCAAAATGTTTTTGAAGATCATCCATGTTATAGACCTATCAGTATTTCACTCCTTTGTACTGTTGAATGAATACTTAGTTCTGTGGTACAGGTATGCCACATTTATTTATCCATTCATCCATTAATGTACATTTAGGTTATATCCACCTTTTGACTACCATGAATAGTGCTACTCTGAGCATTAACGTACAACTTGTTACATACATACTTTTATTTCTTCTGAGAACGATTAACAGTGATCAGCTCTGAGAGGCTGGCCACCTCACAGTTGCCCGCACAGTACCATTTCTGGATGTGAACTACTGAGGCCCAAGAAACGAGATGAGGTGGTCTCATCCTGCCATTTCACCCCTACTTGAGCACCCAGCAGACTGCCCTCTGACCTCTACCAGGATAGGAAAAGGAGGAATTCCAGGGCGGCACCTGTGGCTCAATGAGTAGGGTACCAGCCCCATATATGGAGGGTGGCGGGTTCAAACCCAGTCCTGGCCAAAATACAACAAAAAAAAATAGCCAGGTAGGGTGATGCCTGTGGCTCAAAGGAGTAGGGCGCTGGCCCCATATGCTGGAGGTGGCAGGTTCAAACCCAGCCTCAGCCAAAAACCAGAAAAAAAATCATAGCCCCATGTTGTGGCGGGCACCTGTAGTCCTTGTTTATTTCTGCATTATTTCTAACCATTTAAACTTAAGATAGGGTAAGAACATAACAAAGTTCCATGAAGTTTTGCAGGTCCAAGAGGAACAAGTCTATCTTGGGAATGTTCCAGGCTAAGAATCCTTAACATTGGCTCGGTGCCTATAGCTCAGTGGGTGGGGCACCAGCCACATTTACTGAGGCTGGTGAGTTTGACCCCAGCCAGGGCCTGCTAAACAATGACAACTGCAACAACAACAACAACAACAAAATAGCCAAGCATTGTGGTGGGCACCTGTAGTCATAGCTACTCAGAAGGCTGAGGCAAGAGAATTGCTTAAGCCCGAGAGTTTGAGGTTGCTGTGAGCCGTGATGCCATATCACTCTACCGAGGGCGATATAGTGAGACTTTGTCTCAAAAAAAAAAAAGAATCCTAACATTAATTTTCTTTTTGAGATGGGCTGTCCCTATGTTGCCCAGGCTGGACTGTAGTAGCTATTTATAGGCACAGTCATTGTACACTTCAGCCTTGAACTCCTGGGCTCAAGTGATCCTTCCACCTAAGCCTCCCAAGTAACTAGGACTACAGGTTCTCACCACTACACCTGGCCTTTCTTTTTCTCCTTAACATTAACTTTTAAATTGATAAATGTATAACATGTAAATAGACAAATTTTAACTTTGGATTGTAACTTCACATAAAATAATAGTTTATTTGTTCATATCACTAGGCATTAGCACACACACAAATATGGGGAAATCACTCACTTTTCTTACTCTTGGTGGTAAAAACACCTCAATTGTAGCAATTCCTGTTGTTTTGTAATTTTCATTTCCAGTTCCACGTTCAATTGCTTTGCGACGTATTTCTTCTATTATCTTTTCTACTTCATTTTCACAGCAGTCTAGCTTGTCAGAGTACTTCTTAGCAAGATCCTATGAAGAAAAATCAGAAAAATGCACATAAATATCATACCAAGTCCAACAAAATGGCAACATACAAAAAAGGGACACAGGACCCTCAGGCAGGCAACTCTGATGAGTGGAGGTTACCCCCATTATACTGCAACCCACGCTGTGGCCAAATAGCCAAACAGGCTCCACAGAAAAAGTGAAAAGAATTAGAAACTAAGGGGAAAAAGAGGATAGGCTATGACTTATGTGACTGCAGTACATTAAAAATTATTTTAAGGAACAGTGACATGTTCAACTCCACTGGAGGGAAAAAGGGGGGAAAAGCAGAAAACATTCTCATTTTTCAATTTTTTAAGAACAAGTCAGGTTAGACCTAAACAACTTTTTTTTTTTTTTTTTTTTTGAGACAGAGCCTCAAGCTGTCCCCCTGGGCAGGGTGCCGTGGCATTACAGCTCACAGCAACCTCCAACTCCTGGGCTCAAG